GTGCACTTATAAAGACAGGCTAACAAACAGATTTGATTTACTGTTAATAGTTTCAACTTCCCTTTTTGTTCCTCCTTATTCTTTGTGTGCGTGTCAACGATTGTTATGATTGTTAGGATTCATAGATGAATGAAGACACAATGGGACAGCCATGACCAAGAACCAAGCACGCTGCGTTTGCACAGCCTTACACATGCACGCGCACACACACCCCCACACCCACACACACACACACACACACACACATACACACACATAGCCAAAGCCCTCTCTGAACTGAACTGTGCTTCAATAATTACCATGCATCTCTTCAACCCAGCACAGAGGAATTGGAAGAGGTGAGAGACAAAAAGGTTGAGAATGCTTCAGAGATGTAATTAGACACCGAGAGGAAGTGAAGGAGGGAGATTTGGAGGGAGACGTCAGGATGAGATTAGTGTGGAAATAAGGGATCCAGATGTTGTCTACTTATTAAACATATCAAAAACATTCTAACTAATGTTTTGATGAAGCAGGTTTACAGTATGCAGAATGAGGTTGCCACTATGCAACATTTGTATCAGAAAGACTGCATATGTGTTAGTGTGTAAATGAGTGTAGAGGGAATAGCTGTTGTTTAATATAAACTTTAATAAATTATCGATGAATAAATATAATGACATTATATGTTAGTTGTTCAGTCTTTTTGCAACCTAATGTGTCCCACGTCGTCATAATAACAAAGACCAATTTGAATGTTCATACTGTGTGTAACCTACACTAGTTTTTTGGAAGTTATGTAAAACGGAAATGGTTCCAGGTGTTGCATGCACTACCTAATTCAGTTCTAATGACAAAATAAGATTATTAACGAAATGAAAATGCATTCACAATATTTATTCATGCAGCAGTATTGTCACCCAAAACATGTTCACTCATGGACCGTGGGAAAACGTGTGAACTGAAGCTTTTTTTTCCAAAATCCAACAAAATACTGACTGAGAAACATGGCTTACACAGCCACAGGTGAGTCAAGACTGCTGGAATATTATTTTTTACCAATATACGGCATCATCCCGTGAAACAAAGCCACATCACACCAAATAACCAGAACCTCTGGTTTATTTATCACCAAATATGCCCTTTGGGGTGAAGTTCTCCTGTACCACGAGTGTATACATTTTTAACACAAGCGGCCTCAGAGGAAGCTAAACCATTGACGTTCTTTTTTATTACAGCTTTGCCTTGTCCAGGGAGTTACACAAGGCCACCTACCTTCACTTGAAAGAATATTGTATGAAACCAGGCAGGATCAGCGAGGGTGGGAGGGAGGGATATGAGATGCAAAGTGGGAGACAAAGACGGAGGATGAGCAAAGCGTGTTCCTGTCCAGATGGAGCCTCAGTGGGGATTTTGGACCGTGTGTGTCTGTGTGTGTGTGTGTGTGTGTGTGTCTGTGTGTGTGTGTGTGGGTGTGTGTGGGTGTATGAAGTGTAATGATTCTGGTACACCGCCATGTGGAGGCTGAGTAGGTGGATTACCTGCTCTGGTTCAAAAGGGAAAGTGATGAGTGGGTGGATTTAAGGATTTTTTAGAAGGGAGTTATCATGTTGACCGCAAAGTGCCAAAGAGCCTCCGCTTGGTGTGAAAACCAATAACCCAAATATTAAAGTTACAAGCCGTCAGATTTTTAACAATGAACATTCAAAGTATTTACATTCTGTATTTACCTCTGGCGGAGTCCGCCATTCCTGTGCAGGATTCAAATGAACTTTGTGGAAAAAGACGTGGGATGATGCATGTGATTCAGTATTGATTTTCACACTTGTTGTTAACCAGCAGTAACCACGGGTGTCACCAAATCAACAATGGCTAAAATCTTGAGGACCACAACTTTAAAGAGTAAGTTAACACCCCCTGAAAGCCTTGTTTCTGCTGAGCTCCAGTGGTTTCACTCCTCACTTTGCTGCTACGTATAGGTGTCCTCCAGTACCCGGTGACATCACTGTGTGTTGTAGAAATTGTACAGTAACTCAAGCCGTTGTGGTATGAATTGAATCCTGTACATGTACACAGGAAGAGTACATTTTTAAAAGATTTAATATACCAGTATTTGATTTCCAATGAATAAGCAGCATATATCTTATTGAGCATTTAAAACCCAGTGAGTTTCATTTACATAGCTTTGAGTGATAAAATCCCCCATACCCAGAGAAGAGCCAACCCATCTGGTCTCTAATCCAACGTCAAGGAAGCTTGAACACACACTTTAACAATCAAGGACAGCAAGGACAGCCCTTTCAGCGACATAATAATCTGTGGACTAATGGACTGCCAGAGATCATTTAGTATGAGGCAAACTCTCCGTTTGATGGTCCACCCGATTCATGGATTACATGGGATTACAATCTGTCCATTCCTAGATGGAACAATATGGATTATATCGGGATTGATAATCCAGCAGGGAATATCCTCCCATGGCTGTGCGTAATATGTGTTGAAGGTGGTCAGCCTGGTGGTCAGAGAGGTTTAACCCCTGCTACAGCCGGGATCAGAGCGTCCTCCAACGGAGCTGCAGGCTGTTAAGTGAGAAATACAAAGATGCCAATTCCTATATCTTTGTTTGAGGCGCTAAAACTGAATAGAATAATCTGAGAAGAGATTTGAATTCATGCGTACGAATCACACATTGAATTTGTGTCTCCTCCCACGTCTCCGTGCCGCTTGCTGCCTCAGAGAAGCGTTGAGAGCGCAGAGAAATGCATTAACACTCAACAGGCTGCCATGAGCAGTTACAAGCCAGCGGTGGCAGGTAATTCTGTTAGAGCCACAGCACCATAGCAGGTGGGAGACATGAAGCAAAAACAACAAAAAAGCCTGTAAGCCTGTTGCATATTGCATAATGTGAACACTGTTCAGATATGTCAAAAAGATGCTCTACAGCCATGCAACTTGAATGCCTTTTGTATTGGAACAAGTTTTAACCTCTTCAGCCTCAACAGGTAGATCCATCACAACATGTATGTAGATGTAAACGAGACAGTTTCATATTTCACCCAATAAAAACATGACAGTAAAACTTGTAATGTCAGCATTCAAGGGGTTAAAATTCTGCTCACATCAGTTTCTCACACACAGCAGGCTTCACCAACCCGGTAACGAGATTAAGGGGATTTTGACAAGGTTAAGATCTAAATTGTGTGACACCAGTGGGCTGAGTGTGACTCTCGTGCACGAGCAGCAGAGCCGGTGATGGACTTAAGTTGTAAGTCCGTTAGCAAAAGTGAGGAGTGCATGAACAAGCAACGCTCAGTTGCATCTTATCCACTGGAACAGTTGAATAGATTGACTCATTCTAATTTGGAATTGCAGATATTGCTGTAGTAGCCTGGCATCGTGTTCGTGGCGTTTCACTATTAGCCACGTAATGGTTTTTTCAAATCATATTGTGTTTGTAGCCACAGGCCCAAGAGAAAATCAAAAACGTCTTGCATGATTTATGTCTTGAGGTGTTGAGGTATATATAAATGTATTTGGTCTCTACTCATACAGATGCGTTTTTACAAATCTCTTGTATGCTTGCTCTCTCCAATTTCCCCAAATATCTGTTAAAATGACACTTTTGTGACAGCAACCTTGCAAAGTCAAGAGGATACGATTGTGTCTCTCTTTTGTTTTTGTCAGTAGACTGGTGCAGGATATTTTGGCAGAAGAAATGGGACATGAGGAATGCAGGGACTGAGTAAAGAGCAGGCGACAGTCGACAAAGAGCAAAAGAGGACGTCGGGTCCACTGGGAGGCGGAGAGGGGGAGGTGAGAATGAAGGATGATAGAGAGGTGGGGAGAATAATTGCAGAGGGAGAATTGAAAATGTCTTTTTTAATATATACAAAATGGAGACATGGAGATTGAGCACTTGGCATGAAGGGATACTATAAGGTACCTGTAGGATTCAGTAAAATAGACCTGCAGGTTTTCTAAGCTTATATGATTTGGTGGTATGCAAGATAAACATTTTTAAAGGGATAGTCCAACATTTTGGGGAATACCCCTAATCGCTTTCTTGCCATGACTTAGGTGAGAAGTCTGATACTATTCTCATATCTTTTCCTTTAGATATAAGGCTTTGGCTAAAGCAGCCAGTTAGCTTAGCTTAGCATAACGACTGGAAATAGAGGGAAACAGCTAGCCTGGCTGTGTTCGAAGATTAAAATAAGTATGCGCGGAGAGGATATAGGCTGTTTGTCAACAATGATGACGTACATAATTGGGCACCTGTAGTTTGGCAACGTAAGTACAGCAGAGAGCAATAGCCTGTCAAGCTGTGCAAGGGCATTACCCACTTAAAGATTGCTAACGCAACCAAAACAAACTGACTTTCCAGATCCTTGTGCTAGTGGGTAGAATATATCAGCAAGTGGCCCAGTACTTAGTGGCCCAATATATACATGTATTGCTGGAGAAACCTAGCGTGTAACGTTGCATCAACGAGAGATTAAGCTACACAGACAAGCATTTTCTATATCTGTTCAGTGGTAGTCACCACATTTAATAGCTTACATATCAGCCATAGAGGTGTTTCGGTTTAATGAGTGACCATTTTAACTGGTCACTCTCAGCCCGAACATGCGCTTGAGGTGCTAAGCTAAGCTAACCGGCTAAGCTAAGCTAACCGGCTTTTCACTGAAGCGCTCAGCAAGAAAGTGAAAAAGAGTATTTTCAAAAAATGTCAAACTATTTGTTGAAATAGTTTTTGTCTGACAGTTTCTATTAGGCTATGTCTTGAATGAATGACTGCATAAACAATAAATACACATACAGTCACTGTTTATATGCAGAATATTGTCTCTGTAGCCTACCGTGTGCTTCATGTGTTCTCATTGTAGTGTGCTGTCCATTTTAGACTTTCACTGAATGTGAGGTCTTGAACCCATTATGCCTTTATAATATGCATGGCTCCTGAAAAAGAACACATTTTTACACATCTAGATGTGTAGTTCTCAGACACAATAGAGTCACTGGGTATCCCAAATCCTAAATTTACTCTCAACTCACATCTGTACGTGCTGCACCCAAGGGAGATGGCTCTGGGCTTTCCTCTTTAAAACTCTCGCCTTTAATTCTTATGGGAGGAGAATGAACAAGGAGAGCAAAGAAATATATGTTTTTTTTGCTGTCAAGTATTTTTCTTGTGGAGCCTGGTGGTGTCGGAGGCTCTCACAGCACGTTTTGTAGCTGCTGCCCTTGAATCACAAGTGTGTGCGCGTGTCCTTGAATAAGAGAGCTGACAGAATCACTTGTAGACTTAATCAACTGCACTTCTTTTCTGAAGTGGACATGATAAAAGATATTGTGAAAATAATGACATTCTTTTGATCTGAAAAGTAGGACTTTAATAAAGATTTGAGGTTTGTACACAGCAAATATGCAGAACAATACAACACCGTACAAGACGTGGACGTACAGTATTTATACAAACTACAACATGAAAATAGACAAATACCAATGCATACAGTGGAAAAAAAACTGATGTCATGTAAGAAAAACATTGCCAATAGACTGTAAAGAGAGTAATGCCACACCACTATCAAAAAGCCTAAAAAAAAAAAAAGCTCTGAAACAAGCTGAACAGACACCAGGCATATAATATCAACAACACAGCAGACTGAGAGGCATCATCAAAGACACTATTAGGCACAGCAAGATAATTTTGACCTGATTTAGCATCAGTTTGGCGGAACTGCAAAAAGAAGTCCTGTGTTTTTAAATGTTTTATCAAACCTCTTCAATCTTAAAAATCCACCAGGGAGTTCACAGAAACCACTGATGCTTAATTAGCTCAAAATACCTCGCAGTGTGAATTCTCCATCAGGACGTTAAATTAGATGATTTGTTTACATGGGTTCGAACACCCGGACAGGCACTTTCCACTAAGGATATTTTTTTTATGCTATAGGGAGAGCCAGTTTTTAATAGAAATTGTGAAATGGACAAATCTGTATTTAACATCACGTCTCACACAACAGTGAAGAATAACCATCAAAGAGACCAGAGATGGATTTTTCAGAAACATGGATGCACCGAGGCATATAATAAACATACAGTACAACTCATGCATGGAATGTCGGAAGGTTGGAAGAGTTGGAGGTTGCAGGTTGTTAATTCATCAAACCACATTATTGAGTGGCTGCACGTATAAAATGGCAAAGGAGAAGCAGTCAGCATCCAGGATTGTTAAAATGACTGTGAGTGCGTAATGTCAATTTCAATGTTGTGTATTTTTAAAAAAAATAACTTAAAGAGTGCAAGCTGAAGCACCGACATATGACATAAAATGGGGCAAAGGCTTTTCAGAAATATATATAAAATGCCCCCCTCCCCAACAAAGAGTAGCATTCTGCTAGCGGTGGTGAATTCCTTCGGGAATAAGACTTGTTTTAGATTTGTTCACTAACTTATTTAGAGACCCTTGGGCCTTAATAGACAAAGACAGCCACCTACCAGCCATGGATGCAGGAGGCACTGTGCAGTGGCAAGACATCACAGGTATATGAATACATCATGCAGAGGTGAAAACAATGTGGCATCAATCCTTAAAAGTGCCCACCCCCCCTTTCCCTTCTCTTTCATCATCCATCCCTTGGTGCCATCTACTACTTAATATTCCCACCACTTTCTCCACCACTTTTCATCGCCTTACCTTGACTCCCTACTCTAAAGCTGTCGCGGCTCTTAATTAACTCCACCCAGACCCTGCTGCACTCATGGAGGGATTTCAGAGGTTTTACACAAGGTCTGGCAGCCACAGTGGAGGTCAACAACTCTTGTTCTACAGCAGCTGTGAACGACCCATTGAAGTTCTCCCAACTCGGCCGTCTCAAAGGAATAAATATAGATAGTGGGCATGTTTGCACAGTTTTATCAGCTCCTCTAATCTGATTCAATATTTCTGTTCAACATTTCAGGAAATACGCTTGTTTGCGTTCTTGAGGGTCTTTCTTGAGCGTTTGGTAAGAAGAGTCACTCGCATGTAGCTATGCATGCCGGCTTTGCTTAGCATAAATACTGGTAACAGGTGGAAAAGGCTAGCACGGCTTTGTCCAAACGTAACACATTTCGCCTAAAGCTCACAAATGAACGTGTTTGTACAAAACAACAAAGTCTTAAAACGACAAATTTTAATAAATATTTGTGCTGATTAAAGAAACAAAATATCACATGTTAATTGGTGAGCTTTAGAGATGCTGGTAGGTAGATCTCGTTACTTTTGGACGGAGCCAGGGTAACATTTACCCACGTTTTTTATTCTTCATGCTAAGCTAAGTTAGCTGGCTGCTGATTTACTGTACAGACATGAGCAAGGAAGCAAATAGGCATATTTTCCAAAATGTTCACAATTCCTCTAAAGGTTAAAAAACTGTTTGTTACCTAATCATACTACTTTTGGTCAGCTGACCATCACTGTGTCGTTGCTTTTCCGTTTGCTCACCAGTGAATAACCAGCAGCAGGTTCAATTGCTTCCAAGTATTCACAGAGTTAATGTTTACATTATTTGCTTACATTAGCTTGGACCAATGACAAAATTGTTTAGTGTGGCCTGAAGCTGGACATGAATCTAATAAGCTTTATTTATGAGGAATCTCATCTTGTATTGCACAATTTTCCAGTGGGCCTCCATTGATTACTAGAAGTGTGGTAAAGTAACTGCAAACCCTCAAGTACTCACGTCATATAGATATGCATACCATCAATTTTCCATTTTTTACAAACTTGTCAGTCCATGCCACACATAGATGTTAAAAAAATTCTGTAGCAGTGCTAATAATGGTCAGAATCCTACTTTCTTGAAAGGGCTACAACTTTACCCCTCCCTTCTTTCTGTCCCTTCCCTTTGCCCCATCGGTCATTGAGAACTCCTGTCGTGTTTACTACAAGGCTCTCCCGGGTCCTTGGTCGCTCCACCGTAAACCTCAACTCCGTTCTCGGTCCAGGGGGCCACGCTGCCCTGGGTGACCCTGCCACAGCGGGCCAAGCTGGCCACCTGGTTAGCAGACAGGACCCGGTCCCAAAGACCCACCTGGGACAACTCCCCAACCAGGGCCTGGGATGAGTCAAACCCTCCGCCCAGAGAATCCTGGAGAGAAAGAAGAGTGACGTTACGGAGAGGGTGTGATTGAAGACAAAAACACTTTTACTTACAAGAGCAAGCAAGTAAGCATTACCTGCATCCAAGCACTGAAAACGTCATTCATTTAGTCTTTCACTCCCTCATTCATGCACTCACCTGCTCCTGCCCCAGCATGAGCACTCCTCCAGGTCGGACGTGATGTCCGGCTGCCAGCGCGTGGCCCTCGCCCCGCAGCTTTCCCCCCTGGTAGGCCTGCCAGGCTCCTCCCTTCTGGCTCCAGCTCACGCAGATGTGCTGCCAGCTGCCTCTGGAGAGGTTTAGAGGCAACTGCGCCACCTAGCAACGGGGTAGAGCACGAGGGCAGTTCAGAAGAAGTGGATGTTTAGGACACCACCCATTTTGGAGGTGAGACAGGATGTAGCTGTATAGCTGTGTGACGTCCCTCTGTTATCTTATTTCTCTCCTGTTTCCTCTGTTGGCTGTTGTGCAGTATTCCCTAAGTCCCAAAGACATCCTGCTACCTCCAAGGACACAAATCTTTCCTCCAGGCATCTATTACCATAATGAGTTCATTGGATTATACCAGTCACTGCACTGCACTACACCACCCTGCAGTGCTGTCAATGTGGTGCATTAATGTGTCATTTAAACACATGAATGAGGCGATTTAGCTTGTCTGCTAAATTGGCTCTGTCGTTTGATGTGTTTGACTTATTTGCATGCTAATACAGTGCACTACTTCTTCTGTAAGAGACATTAAAGATTCTAATCAAGACATAATGCTGTTTGTATACAGCGCAGTGATACTGGTAACATTGCAGAAAGTGTGTGAGCCGAGTAGAAAGCAGTAGTGGGTGATAGTCGGGGGGATCTTGGATCCAGTTACTGTGTCTTACAGCAAAGTTATTAACAGCGTTCTCTGTTTGAAATTATAGTTTTTTTATCCTCTATGTTTTTTATTCAAAAGGCACTGACATATTATTAAATAAAACCTAAATTAACCTAAATTGAAACAGATTTTTACGTGGCTGCACCATTGCATCGAATTAACACGTAACACAAACATATTGACACAGATTGAAAAATCACAATGTGTATGTTAAAATCGGTATTTGTTTGGATGGAGTACTCTACATATATTTACTAAGTAATAGCTAGTAATGCATGCACACTTCATGTAAATCTTGATATTTTTATCTAGCAATAATTGAGCAATTTATCCTGGCATTATGGTGTTTAATATATTGTAAAATGATTGTCAATTACGGCAATATATGTTTATGTCGGCACAAACACTTTCTATATCCGTTTGCATTCATTAAAATAAAGTTCTGCAGAAAATGGACTCATAATGATGTGCTCTCTACAGACTGTAGAGAGTTTGTGTCGGCTTAATAATACACGTCATATCAATCAATAAATAGTTTGAAACATAACCCGCAAACCATGACATAAATCTCCTCGGGAAAATTAATTGCTGTCAAGCAGTGGACGGGTCAGTTCAGATACACAGCGGAGGCTCAGCCTCTCGACTGACGGCGTATACCTTGTCATTGATGAGCAGCTCAGTGGGGGTGTGCAGGCCTTGCAGCAGCACCAGTTCGTTGGGTTGCTCGGAAACAGCATAAGAAAGAGGCGTCCCGATCCCTCCCTCCGCGGGCCGCAGCCACAGGCAGACGGTGAAGGCCCGCAGCGCCGGGATGGAGTGTTTCACAACAGCGTACATGTAGTTCGTCCGAGTTGGGAAGGACAGCCTGTAGCCCTCTGGGAAAGAATGCCATGAGACACCTGAGAGTATACGGACACAAAAGAGAGAAATCAATTTAATCATCGAGCTGGCAAAATAGATTTCCTGCTAATCTCATAGACTGTGACTCAACTTCTTCATCTGATCTGACATTTTCAGGCGGGGCATGGATTTTATAGTCTTTTTTTCTTTTTTTCCAGCAGTTAAACATAATTTATTTATCATAAAGAAACCCTGATTCGGCCTGATTTGATCAAGAGGAATACAAAAATGAAACATATGAGGTAACTTTTATGCCAAATTATTTCTCATTAGTGAATTGAGTCATTCTGCAAGTGATTCATTACAGTCACTTATACCTGCCTCCCTTTCTCTTGTTATTATATTTTCATTTACACATCATTTCCTTCTTTTCCTCCCCTCTGTGAATACCGACCTCCCTCCAGCCCTGAGAGTCGATGGTGTAGTTTATTGATGCCCCGGTCGATTTCCTGCCTGTGCTTCTCTGTTTCCAGCCTCATGGTTTTTCTCTCTTTCTCCAGCAGCTCCACCTTCTTCTCCAGCTCCCCCTCCAAGTCTTCCATCCTCCAGGGCCTGTCCGCACCGGCTCTGTGCCCGGGATCGGCCAACCTTTCCAGGCCGCCCAACAAGCCGCCTTCCACTGGCGCTCCTGAGGTGCTGCTGTCCGTCTGGTTGTGAGGAAATGGGCCGATGTCTGACTGCAGAGGAGGGATACAGTGGATGGAAACTGGTTCACAGTGTTACAGGAAAACATTGTAAAGTACACTCTGTTATGTTGAATCAAACTAACAGTTCAGGTATTATGTATTTACTACTATAGCAGTGCATCTCAACATTGGCTCGGTTGCATGCCTAAGGCAAAGTTATTACACCCAGTTAATGACTGATTTTGCTGAGACATTACATCACTGCTGGATATACAACGGGGCTCATTTATTAAGGTTTCACTCTGCCGTAGTTAATGTTTTGTCCTTACAGAGAAGCTCAACATTTTTGCTGGAAATACCAAGAAATAGTCCTGAACATAACCCCCAGTAAAATCACAAATCCCAACATTATCTCCTATAAAAGCAATAAAGTGTTGTTTTTACACCTTCTTTTTTTGTACAGATTACTCAAATTAGGTTTGACGGCTTAATTAGAGAACTTTTGGATTTTTTCACCTTCAGAGAGAGCCGTGCTAGGTGTTTCCCGCCGTTGTCTTTATGCTAAGCTAAGCTAACTGAATGCTGGCTGTAGCTGCTTTTGCAGAATTACTTAGAATTGATTCTGGGTTATATTTGTTGATGTTTTCATATTACTGTGGGATTTTTGGCATGCACCTCTAAGCTCTTTTGTGACAAAGAATTTCACAGAGAAGCAGAACAAAACTGTCTGTATCCAAGTGCCACACGGGAGGTTTTTGGACAGACCATCTTAAAGGTCAGCCAAGATAATCAACTATTTCCATCAACAACAAATTACCAGGATCCCTTTCAGAACAGGTCACCGAAATAAATAGCCAAACCACAAGAGAGGGAATGTGGGAAAAACAGACGCTGTAATATTTCTAAAACCTGCGTGGTCCAGTGTATCCACTGAGCATTGTGTTAGAGTGTACTGTAGAAATACAGAGGAACCACAAAGCAATTAATACAGAATACATTCAGTGTGCTCAGTGCTTACATGTAGAGATACGATAAAGTAAAGACTTGGAGGAGAATTAATCCCTACAATGACAACTACTATGTGAAAATCACAGTAAAGCATACAAGTCTAAAGTATTGATTTTTGTCCCAAAAACGATCCTTCGTCAGGATGGATGGGATTTCCAATGTAATCCTCAGTTCATCATATTTGACATGTGTTCTGCAGTAGACTTATCACTATCCTTAAATACCTATCTAAGGATTGAGCAAAATAAATGTCCTTATTGTAAATTGTCTTACCAGGAAGTCATAAAACATAATTAAGTACCAACACATTTGATGTAATAGTTATTTTAAAACTGGACCTTGTTATGCACTGTACACTGTGATGCATTTGCTTTCCCAGAGTCTTGCCATGATGATCTACTCTCAATATATAATAGTTATTTTATCAAGCACAGGACTAGGCTATAATGCAGCTATGTACATGTGCAGATGTCAAACATTTCTGGAGAAAATGATCAAAATTGCAATATCTTCTGGGAAGAAAATGTATTATAGATTTGCTGAAGTGTGGTGCAGGCATTGTTGGACATGAATGCACTAGACTTGACTCAATGGATACGAGCACAGAAGGAGAAGAGGTCAGCTTGTTTCATTCATGCAAGATCTCATATCAATTCTTCGGTCACTTCTGTGTGAGCGGTTTTAGCTCCGCAAGGGGACAACAGACTCATTACGAATAGAAATCCTCTCAACAGATATTGTGCGGTAATGTGAATCAAAGAAGTCAACAGATTTACAGGAAGCGCACATCATGACTCAGGTCAAAAAAAGTGAGAGCAAAGGGAGGAAGGCAGCATATAAACCTCTCATTGAGTGGAAGTGATTGCACCTGAAGGGGGCGGTTCATTTCCAGGCAGGAGCGCTTGTTTTATCCTCCCTGTCTCAGGCGTGGTCATGAGATCTCTTGGGGACTTTTAACAGGCATGGTTATTGTTCTTAAGACATAAAATAGTGAACACACACCTACATATACCTCACACTAACTTCACAACCATGTTGCCTCTTGTATTGTTATCAGCCACACATTGTCAGTGCCGAGTTGTTTATTGTTTCATGCAGCATTTCCTCTAACTTCAAGCTTCCTTGATGCGTTTATTTATTAAGGTACTCAAGAAAAAATGATAATTGTTACTTCCATTTCAGGAAAGCTGCCATTTCTGCATGTTTGCCAGATTTTTTTAAAAGTGCTAAAACGTTGGTAGAGCATCACAGCAACGAAGCATTTTAGAATTGGATATGCATACATGTCAAACTTTCAGCGTCCATGTGAACATTGAAAGTGCTACAGTGACACCCATCCATGCCGCCTATTAACGAGCCAGATGCAAAACATCCGCATGAAAACAAGAGCCAATACTAAAGGTAAAGCTCAGTGCAAAAGATCTCCACACTGCAGCTGGATCAGTGCAACATTACAGAGTGCTTACTATGATTGAGCTGCTGGTTATGAAAAAAATTCACAATTGCTCAAACTGTTATCAGAAACTGTGGTACCAAGTGTACTGGTAGCTACGCTAGAAATGGAAAAGCATTCCAGTAACTGCACATTCACACCATTTGCAGCCATATCACCTTGTGTGCTTCACGTGGTCTGGTCTTGAATGCTAATGGTGATAGGAATTTAACATACTGTGCGTTCCAATACCCATACAACCATATACCATTTAGTGTGCCAGAAAAATATTGAGCATGTCCTAATACATAGTATGACAGTATGCCAAAAATACCAGGATGCATCCGCTCGCTTTTTGCAGTATGCAAGCCAGCATACTGTATATCCTTCTGGCTACTCTCACCCACAATCCTCTGTGCAGCGGATATATAAGGAAGAGGGTCAAAGTTCAATGTGCAATGTTCTGAGGAAGTATAGTACGTCCCAACTGAAAGCATACAGCATGCAACAGTACGGACTTTGAACGGGCAGCTGCAGTACGTGCTAAAAGTAAAAGGAAAACATATCCGATTTGGAGTGTTATTTGACCTGACTAGTAATCCCAGATGAAAGCTCTTCTTCTATATTCATCACAGCATATGATGTAAACACCACAATGTGCTACTGAAGTATAGGCCATGTAGCTCCTGTATACACACGCGCTACAGGATTGTGTTTTAGGTTGAACTACAAAGACCTGTGCAATCCATTCAGATCTCATTCTGTCAAAAGGGAAATATATGTTCTTGAAAAGCGCAAAACGTGGTGATTATTCAACCCTTTTGCTTTCTAGAGGATTCCATCTGTCAGCGGCCATATAGAATAACAAAGTGTTTATAATCCGCAAAGAAAATGACCCACACAGACATGTCCTACATGTGACCGCACAGAGTGAGGAGTACTACACTGCAGAGAATGACTTTAAGTCTGTGCTTTCTACAAATATAGGCAACTCATACATGATGTATGGTATGTCTTTAGCCAAAAAATGAGGTTATACATCATCGGATTCTGGTCAGATGAGACCGTGTTTCATGTTACTCTGCTATACTCTCTCCTCCTCCTCCTGCTGCTGCTCCTTTTTTCCCCTCCTCCCCCTTTATCCTCATCTAGCCTCTCTCCACTTCTTTTGACTTTACATCTCAATCTGTTTACTTGGTGTTAGAAATGAGCATCCGCCGCGCCAAAGCAATCAATTCATGTATTATTAATGACATAAACAGATGGCAAGTTATGATTATACGAAATCACTAAATGTTGATGTTATCAGCAATTAACATCGATATAATTTCAAATTGATGCAGCTGATAATATTATGTTATAAGTATGAAAATAAAAATAAATCTCATATTGTTTCTTTATCCATATCACACACAAAAGCTTTTGGATAACTCACTTGTTCTCATTCAATATTCAAACCCCTTGTTTTCATAAGCATGCATGCCCAGGAGTCCTAAGGTATTATAAGAGTGGAGGAAAGACACAAAGAGCTGTGCTCAACTCTGATCATCACTTATTACAGCAAAATGTAGCTAGAGTTTGAGTTATAGTAGGCTAATTTTACACCATTCTAGGTGAAACTTATAGAGGGATCCTTCTTTATGGCCTCAAAATCCCATCATGTGGGACCCAAAACTGCTTCCCAAGAATTGTTTTATCATGCAGGTGATGATTTACGTGGAGGGGTCATTTCCTTCACACTCTACCTACCTCCAGTTTCTCTATGCGGTCTTTGAGCTGAGTGATAGCCTGCTCCAGCTCATCCACAGCCCTGACGGTGAGCAGGTGAACGCCGTCGGGCGTCGAACCCGGGCTGTCCCGCACCATGACCCGCTCCAGGTGCGTCTCCTCCGCCGTGCTTTTGCCCCCCCACAGCCCCGCAGCGCTCCGGCGTCTGTCTGCGCCGCTGCTCCTGCCGTCCAGCCCCTTCTCGCACTCGGATAGTTTCCCCGTCAGCTCCCTGATGGTCCGCTGGTCCGTTAATATCTGGTCCTTTTGCTGCAGAACGGTCTGCCGGAGCTCTTCCGCGGTGGTGCGGAGGTAGCCCCAGTCTTCCCCCGCGTACAGCGACGGGTCTTCCGCTTGTTGCTGAAAGTTCTTCGGGTTGCACTCCCCGGCGGGGATCGGCGTGCAGATGAGTCGACTGACCGTCGGGTCGTGACCCGTGAGTCCGGTGACCCCGTCCAGCCCGCTGAGTCCGATGTTGAAGGTCGGTGCTTCCGAATCGGGCGTTTCAGAAACATGGAGAGCGCCCAAAGATCCGGCCCGGGCCACGGAGCCCGCTGCAGCGGGGCTCTGCGCCACCGCGTCCGGATACAGCGAGTGGTTGTCGGTGGCCGGTTGCTGTTGTGCCGCGGCAGCCCTAGAGTTACCGGTGTGGACGGCTGCGATGATGCAGATTACCGCTCCGATGAAGGCCACCATCCCGGCGGCCAAGATAATAACAATGAACTTCAGGGTGGCGGCGGGGGAGATCGATTATTAGAAAAATCTAATAATAATAATAATAACTCTGACTCCGTAAGAAACCAAAAGCTGCAAAACAACAAACGCGTCAATGTATTTTCATGTCTGTAAATGTTGGAGAGAAAATTAAAAAAAACTCCTCACTTTTCCTCTTTTCCACAAGAACAGGCGATTAGAAAATGAGAGTTCTGCACCATTATTGAGTCAACACATAACATCAGAAACAGTCTGTGATAGACCTCCTCCAGCCTGTTCAGCGCGCATGTTCTCTGTATTCATGCAGAATCCAGCCTGTTAATACTGAAGCAGGATGAGGAGGGGGAGTGAGAGAGGGAGCGAGAGAGGGAGAGAGAGAGAGAGAGAGAGAGAGAGAGAGGGAGAGAGAGAGAGAGAGAGAGAGATCCATGTAGTAGCACATTTGTTTTATCCATTTGATCTTTTTAGCATGTGCCGAACTTTTCCAGCTGTGTTTAAAGTGTAATCTGTGATAGGTATATCCTATCAAATATGTTTACATTGCTGCTCGAAGCCACATTGCAGAGAGAAGAGGGTGCATTTCTTCTTTATCACTTTTCTTTTCTCCTCAAGCTTTCATCGGAGATGCAAATTCTAAATTGGATCTCCTCGGCATGCATAATAATCGGTCTCACATCAGGAAATTGTTCCCCCCCCCCCCTCCTCCCTTGGGCTTAATATTTTCTTGCTCAGCAACACATTACAGACCTACTGTAATGCAATGTGTGGATGGCCATAAGTCAGCCTAAAGGCTCCCCGTAGAACAGCTCTACAGCAGCAGAGATGACAGAATGATGGCCCTATAGCTGGGGGTTTATGTGCTTGTGTTTGTGTGTGTGTGTGTGTGTGTGTGTGTGTGTGTGTGTGTGTGTGTGTGTGTGTGTGTGTGTGTGTTGCAGAGCACGATACAGACCTGCTGATGTTAGGGTATACGTCTCATTAAACCATGATGCTTGTCAGTAAAAAATACATTTTAATCTCATTATGATGCACATGCACACACACGTAATTGGAAAAACATATTTATGAGCATGCATGAGAGAAACTGAGTGAGGGAAAATGAATCACACACACAGACAGACAAAGACAGGAGTGAGAAAACTCTTCTCCATGTGTATAAAGTGAGTGTGTGATGTGCATTCTCACACAAGTATTAAGTGGGATTTAAGCTAAGACTTCTCAAAGTCCCAGGTGCTGAGAGCTCGAATAGAAGACGGGTGAGGGGAGACGGCGTGAGACGGCGTGAGACGTCTCTGCAGCAAAAAATAGCTGGCGCGCTCAGTCTGCACCGGAACACTAGAATAGTAAAGTAGATTGTTGAGTATACTCCTGCAGAGATGGAGACAAGAGCCCGGGGGAAAGCAAATACAAAACAATCACTTCTCACACAAAAGCAAGACTGATTGCTGGAGCTCCACACTTTTTCTATTCAGCATGCACACTAAATGTCACTGGTGGCACTTTTTGCCAGCGTTGCAGCAGTATAGTGTGGGTTCTTATTGCAGTCATTTCCGCCCATGCTCGTCGCTGTGTTACATGTAATGATGATTGTGGCGACGCTTGTAGCTTTGAATGGTTTTTATTTCAGGGTTTTAGGGTGATGAAGGTGTAAACACCGGCTCTGTACATGAATGCATTTGGGGATTACAGTATAAACTTGTGTTTTATTACACTGCAGAGGGGGGTACGAGTGCATTAAAAAGGGCCAGCGTGGGTGAAGCATTCTGGACACCGCTGCCCGGTTAATGATGGCAATATACTGCTGATCTTTTATGTCTATAAAAGCATCCATGAGAGACTCTGTGGCCAGTAAGTCTGAGCTTGATTTATCATAAGTCGCCAATGACCTTTATGCTGTGTGCTGCAGTGGCGTTAGAGCTTTTAAAGTTTCCCTTGTTGGGAATTTTTCATTGTGTTAATGCACTTTTTCCACAGGATTCTATCCATAAGCTGTGATGGGGATTTGGTCAGAGCCGCTACTCCGAAGTCTAAAAACACTGTGGGACCTTTTCTCCGTTGACTTCTTTGTAAGCAGGGGACTTAACCTCTTTAGGGGGGATGGGAGACAAAATGAATTGTGGCAGTGAAAAACATTTTTTTATCCATATTTAAAGGTTTTCAGCGTGATTGTTTTGTATGTGAATGTTGTATTTCCTGCCTCTGCTGCTTGATTGTTGTAGCTGTAATTAAATAAGCTATTTAAATGTCTACTGTGTCAGCAGAATGAAGAGTACATCAGAGAGCCACTGCAGTGGTGGAAAGTACCAAAGTATATTTACTTAAAGCACTGTGCTGAAGTATAATTTGGGGGTACTTGTACTTTTCTTGGGTATTATCTTGTATCAATTTCATGATACGTTATACTTCTATACTCCACTACAATTCAGAGAGAAATACTGCACTTTTTTAGCATTTAGCTGATTGTTACTGTGCAGATAAAGAGACACAAAACATGTGATCAGTTAATAAAATACAATGAACTGTTAGATAGATTAAACAGTATTTGGAATAGTTCAAAGTAGCTACTTCTTACTCACTGCATCGAAATATTAACGCATCAGTGATAATAATCAAATTATATAATATATGAAATATTATAACTCTGACAAAGTAAATTCTGCCCTTACCTATTTCATTTTTTTCTGGTGATCCGATATACTACAACCAATACTCAGTATGTGGCACTAAATCCATAAATGCCAGCTTCTTGTGTAACAAATTGTTAGTATTCAGAGTGGGTTTATGTGCTAACACCTGAAATATTGAACAAAAGCTTTTACTTTATGATGAGAAAAGATGAGGGAAGAGGAAAGAGATTAAATCAGGGGTGTTATAAAGCTGTTTAAAATTCAAGTCATGTGTAAGTTTATGGTGCCATCTAGTGTACAATGCTCTCTCTCTCTCTCTCTCTCTCTCTCTCTCTCTCTCTCTCTCTCTCTCAGGGCCTTCAGTAATATATTAAACTATCAACAACCAACCCAAGAACCAAAGGTTTCCCAGTTTACTCTTTACTTCCTGTGTGGATTCTCTCACACACACATGCATCTAATAGAATAAAATACAATCAATACTCTTACCACATCATCCTACATGCCTTCACAATAGGAATACGTGACCATCCCTGTGACACCTGCACATCTCCTTGAGGAGTTCATGGGGAGTTCACTGCCTCTGACATGTCAAAGACAGAATAAATCGTCTGTTTGAGAATAAAATGAGTCCGTCGGAGCTTTGGGGCCGAGTGCCGCTCGCGGCCTTGTGTGTGTTTCAGCTTGGCAACAGGAGGTATTGGGCCGAATGCCAAAATATGATAGTTGAAGTAAGAACAGAAATCAATACGTTTCTCTGCACTCATCTGGGGTTTTGGTCAAATATCGCAGAGCAACTCTCTCTCTGTCTTTTAGTTTTAGTTTTGGTCACTGGTAGAAAAAGAGAATGTTTTCTCTCAGTAATCAATATTTCTTATGGTTCAGTGTCCGACTGAGGCTTATGTAAAACAGAAAATGATGACCAGCTATCAAGATACATTCAATTAACATGTTTTATTACATTTTATACAAAATATTGGGACACCGCTGTTCTTTTTTCCCGGTGCGAGTGGGTTTTTGACATCCGAAGTGATTAAAGTACGAGGATTATAGGATTTTTAGCACATATGACCACTGAATTCTGCATTAACCAATCAAAAAGGAGAACTATTAGTGGTGTTACTGTATTAAAGGATTGGGATCACAGATTTCAAAATATGCTTGAATTACAAATTCACTTTGTGACAGTTTTATAGAAGTCACTTTCATTTATGTAGCCCAGAATCCCGTCGACATGTTTTACTTTTATTGTCCTCTGAATTAACATCTGCTGCATGGGTCCAAAGTTCTCCATTGTCTAAAACCTGTAACACTAACAAGTGATCACCAAACGCCAAATATGTTACGGTGAACATGGGCACTGTAGTTTATTTTGTGTCAGTCCCACAGACACCATCCTGCTGCTGTAAATACTCACAAGTGCAACAAATGTGTGTTAATCCGCACCTGAAAATAGTCCCTAAAATGTACAACACATCCTCATGTTGGAGCAGTACAGTACAGTACGAATGAAAACAATACAAGACATGAATGTCACATATTGTACAATCACAAATTGAAATAAGGAATTTGATAAATAAATATTAATTGAAATATTTGTAATGATAGATCCTGATCACATTTGGCTGTTGTCATACATCCAAACACATCTAACAATCAGGTAATCACAGATGGTCCAACATCTGTGAGAGGATAAGGCTGTAATCACTGACCATTCACAAAATCCGGGAATCTTTCCTATTTCTGAGCATAATTCTCCACTCGGTTAATGACGGACCATCTCTCATACACTACAGTTCCCAGCTGACCAAACCATACGTTCACTGGGGGCAAAGCTCAGCTCTGAATAGTAGATTTGATTCATAACCTCAAACTGGACCGGTCTAATCTCCCTGGACATTTTCTTTCAATTCCTCATGATTTCTATCCACGCCTCCTCAGAACATGAAAACACTTTTGAATCTATTTCCCATGTCGCTTTAACATTAGATGACTTTGTAAATGAGTGATTCAGAAGCATGGGGCAGTATTTCCCTTTCCAAATAAACCCAGAATAGACAAGGGAGTGTTTGAGTCCGGGGGGGTTTTGAAGTATTTGAGCCTAACTAAAAGGTGTCTCATTTGAACCTTCAAAACTGATGTCAGGGTAGATCAAACTGCTATTTTAGAGCTGTGAATGACTTCACATTAACCCCCTTCTAAGACAAGGAGAATCCTGTTAAGCTCAGGATTCAGCCAAATACCTAAAGACAGATCTAAGCATGGATATTAATGACTCATTTCTAAAGATATACCTGTAATGATTTCATGAAAACAGATCTCTGTTATAGTCTTAAATAAAACATAAAATGTGGCAAGTACACAAACACACACGCACAGGCCTGTCAGGGTTTACAGCATATGTCCGTGTGTTTTATGGTTGAGCCATGTTTAATTATTTACTCCAGTCTTTCTCAGGCCACAGTGGTGTCAGGTACCAGCACACTCACCCGCCGCCTCCTCTCCTCAACTCCAAGTCCAGTTCAAAGCTATCAACTCTTGTCTCACAGACGCTTTGGAACATTCGCTGGATGGTTTAAGACCCGGAGAGCCTTTTGAGGTTTCACAGACGGTTGCACTGTTTCGGATACAAACATGTCGGGGATGAATAGTGATCAGCTGCATCGCTCCACCCTGAGGATTTACTCGGTAAGCAGCAGATTCTTTGCGTGGGCTCAAAATGGACGACAAACTTACCTGTGAGACACACGGAGTGGCCTGTCATGTTTTGTTATTGCTTTTTCAAGTGACAAGCTTCTGGAAAGTTTATGGAAAACATAGAAATATGTCCTGGTTACTGAGGAGTGAAGCTCAGTTAGACCTTTTTTCTTTTTTTTTATCTGAAGTGAACACGATCTGAATGCACAAAGTCATTTTCAATTTCAAGGAGTATTTCCTCTGCTTGAGTCTGAGGCTGTCTTGTGCTCTGATGTTGGGGGTTTGTGCTCATAAATACAGATTAAATTAAAGATGAATTTGATTGATTCTCCTTTAGGCCGGTCTTAAAGTTCCTGTGACTTTGCGAAAACTCAACAGACACTGTGATGTGTGTGTGTGTGTGTGTGTGTGTGTGTGTGTTTTTCCAAACAGAGCTTGATGGATGAGTTCAACCCAAGCCTACAGAAACTGGTCTCACTGGGTAACAGCTACGTGCATGCTTTCCAGGGTAAGATTTAAAAAAAGACACATAATGTGCTGAAGAGACTCACTCCCTATTATGTAATTTGTGTGTGACGTCCACACAGCTACCTTTATGAGTGAAATAAACTAAACAAACTCTAATTGTTTTCCCTGCAATATGGGAGCTGTCAGGCATCTGTCTCACTAGACCTAATTCTAAAGTCCATATGCTTTGGGGATATCCTGGGGCCATTACAGCCTTGATTATGGGCATGTAACCAAGGCCTGCGGAGGCTGTGATTATACTAACACAGCTACACATTTCCATATACAGAGGCAGGGATTTAGGATACTTTATGTCGTCTTGAATTTATTTCTACGCTCTTTATCCGACTGTGTCATTTAAGTCCTGTAAGGAAGAGAAGAGGTCAGGATGAAACTTTTAATTTGAATCCGAAAGCGCAGTAATTGCGTTTATATTTTATGTCTCATTTATCCGCGTCATAATCACCTCTAATCCCTGTGCAATGCATTAAATGTGAAAGGCTGACATGCAAAGGAAATTCAGCAACACGGTGATGCTTTCACACGTTGTGTTCCATTATAGGTGTTTGTTTAATATGTGCGAGGACACTAATGCTACATCCACAACAACTGATTCATATAGTTGCAACCAAAAGCTCCTACAAAAGCACTGCAGAATTTAAAAAAGATTATTATGTCTTCTGTTGCCCACCTTCACAGAGGTTGTTAGTTCGCTCATGTATGTTCAGTGCAATGACCTCATGACATGTTTATGAGCTCAAAGAGCAAAAACAAATGTAACGCATAGATTCTACTGAATGCAGCTTCTCCGTATACATTTTAAAAATCAAATTACTGGAGGCAGACTCTACATACATCAATTGTTATTAAAGCACCGTCTCTTTCACCATTGAAATCAGTTTGTCTCACAGCCTCTGGGACTGCGTTGTCTGATTGGTTCGCTCCCAAAAACAAGTTATTCTCACCTGCTGAAAAATAAAAGCCCAGAAGGACTCCACACAGGGATCTAATTACATGCTCAAATTACTGAGGCAACACCAGGATGCAGATTTAATTGGGGTCAAGCTGTGATTTGACCACTTTTGACTCTGTCTGCCCTACAAAGGCAGTAGTGAGAGAAAGGCTGAGAGAAAAAGGGGTTTAAAGTTTTCAGGCTGACTGAATAAACTAGCTTTCATCGACCATTTGTTAGAAGTCCTCTTTAAATCAGATGTAATCATGAATTCCACCAGAGTTAATCCTGAGATTTACTGTAAACAAAGCAACATCAATTTTGGTCAATGAGAGCGAAGAAGGACTTCATGGTTATTGCTTAAGAAAAATGTGATTTCCCTGTGAAAGTATGCTTACTTGTTTTAAGTGAACATATCTCCATTTGATTACAGAACGATATTTGTGTGTATGGAAATTTGAATTTTTGAATAATTTTATTTTTTTGGGTAATAAATTGGCCTGTTTACCTGCGCTTGTAGTTCCATGCCAGGGAAATGAATTGCACCAAATAAATTAGCATTTCAAATGACTGTTGTGTTTGTGTTGTTTCAGCTCTTGCAGTAACAAGTGAGGCCTACTGTAGTGCACTTTCAAAGATCGGAGAAAATGCTTTCCACACCATATCGTCTCGCTCCCTCGGTAGGTATGAACACACGTATGAACGCCGTGTGGCAACACAAAGAAGTTATTGCTGTATCGACAATCCAGGATGTGAGCGTTTTGTCTTTGATGTGTTCATGGTCATTGATTAAACTAATTCAACAGTATTCTTCAGCGTCATGAAGACCAAAGTTCACCCTCTGGCGCGCTTTATTACTCCTTTCACAATTACGAGGACATAGTGCATGTGTAGCGAGAGGGAGTGTGTGTGTGTTTGTGTGTAATTAACATATTCTTTGATGTTGAAGTGTGTTAAACATAGCCTGCTTTCATAAGCTGAATTGTTGTGTTTTACAGTGCTTTTAAAGACTTACAACCTTAACCTGACCTGAGGCCTCTATTGGGCTCAAGTCAAGTCAAGAGTTTGGCAGAACTAACTAATTAGATTTCTACTTACAGTACGACAACAGTAGGGTTCAAACACATGTATGTTTAAGTCTGTTTTTTCTGTGAGTTCAAGCCAAGAAGTGTTGCCAGAGTAGGTATCAGATGCCGGCTGGGAACATGAATAATTGACGACGACTCTCACTTTCAGCCGCTCTAAAGGGGAGTCATGTTAGGTTTAGTGGCTGGAGTTAAAGACACTGTCCAAACTGGATCATTAGTCTCCTCTCACTGTACTGTTTACTCAGTGAGGATGCGACTCCAGGCATGCATTTCAGGGACGATGACAAGCCAAACTAAACAAGTGGCACTCTAAAGATGTTGTGGCATGATGAAACGTGATATTCAAACCGCTTTGGAAATGGTTTGGAGCTTGCCCCTAGCTATATAGCTCAGTGAAGTTTTCAATCAAGGTTTAAGACAGCAGTTGGCCTTTTACTGGAGGCAACTGTGCTACTGTCACAACAACATTTGGCAGCTAATTCAATACCAGCGAACACAGCAGAAAACAGTGAACATGAACACCATCACAGGTTCAGAATCATCAACACAGACGAAAGGTATTGTAAAATCAATTGGCACAGTAACAACGAAACTGGATGAAAACAAATATAGGTTAACTGTCAAGTCAGATATCTTGGCCTTCTACTCAGGAAGCAACAAGTATCACTAGTGACACATCAGCACAGAGATTCATCTGGTAAACAACGCACATAGAGTCCACGAGAGGAAACAAGAAAACACTTGACAGTTGGCCGTGGCAGTTATATAACAAAACGTTAGCCTCACACAGCTAGCACAGTGGCTAGCTTGGTAATAAAGATTCAAAACGTCATTTTCGAGCAGAGGCCTCATGTTCAAGAGGTTACTGAGTAGATAGAAGTGAACAATGGGGATGGATTTAATCAGCACAACGGCATTTTATTGTTTTATAGTTGGATATGAAGTAATGATAATAATGTGACATGTAGCCTGATGCAATTGTGTTTAAGGAGATGTCCTGATTCAGATCTCTGAGAGCCAACGACGACTCATGGCGGAGATAGACGGAGTCGTAAGTTGCATCAACACACGTATCCGTCCATCACAACCTTTAAATGTGTGACCTAACTCCTATGTTCTCCTTTTTCTCTTGCGTTTAATATGATTTTGTCCCTTTCCAGTTCCGCTGGTTCAGTATGGAGGTGCTTCAGGAGATGGACACTAACATTAAACTGGATAAAGATTACATATCAGTGAGTGAAGGGCCAAAGCACGGGCACAACAAGGTCAAAAGGGCTTCTTACAGATGACAAGCTGTTATCTCATCATCATTTCTAGGAAGTAATGTAAAATGAATAACTGCGGGTTATCATGTGAATCTGTCATTAGAAAGCGCAAACGCCGTTAGAATTAATGAGAAAGACCTCTTCATTATAATTTCCACTGGATTGCTGATTGTCACCTGGATGACTGAAGTGATTTCGCGCAGACGTGATGTGAGTTGTCTCTCATACAGGGCAGCAGGAAGCACTACGAGATGGAAGTCCACGACCAGTCAGCAGCTCTGGACAGGCAGCTGAGGCGAGGAGACAACCAGGTTTCTCTCCGTCTCTATATTTTTGCACCATGGAGCAAAAAATTCAGCACCACTGTATATGAGTATGTCCCTGTACAGTGTATATATATATATGAACTGTCAATCATGTGTATCTGCAGGATCTGCAGTATATGAAGTTCCTCAGGGAGAGCCACAACGAGGCTCTGAAGGAGGAGGAGAGGCGATACCGCTTCCTGTCGGAGAAACACTGCGGCCTGATACAATCCATCGCCCACCTCATGAATAAGGTATACAACTTTCTTCGAATAGCATTTGTGATCTCAATGTTTCATGGTTTGTTTTGGCTTATTGACCACAAGTGCCAAATGGGTCGGGTTTGTCATTGATCTCAGAGGAACAATGATGGGAAGGCACTCAAAAGAGAATTCTCAACAATGTGTAATGATTACAAGACTTTATCGGTCTCCGTGGGGGAAATTCCTCTCCTTTATAACAAAGGTCAACCACAGAACAGCAGATACGCATTCCAGATGTTCAGCAGGACTGATGCCACACTAACAGCACTTAGCTGTGTGTTTTAAAAAATGCTGCGTAAATACATTTATTATTAGAATAATAGGGAGTCTGTTGAACTCTGGACTCCCTGCTCAATTGTTATGGTACCACTCTATTGACCTAATTAAACACCTTTCGTGCCATAAACCTAACCTCGCTTATCATAACGAGGCTATCACAAAGCCCTTTGAGACTGTACCAGCGGTTCAGGACTGTTCCGACACGTGTTGTGGCCCCCGAACAAAACCTTAAGTTAATACTTAACAGCATTTATTAACAATGTAAATATAGGGCTTAAGTCAAAATTAGATAAAAAGATAAAAAGTCAGAAAGTCAGAAACATGAGATGAAAAGACAAAATTACAAGATAAAAGAATCATGAAAAAGAAAGGATCAGTAATCAAGAAAGAAATCAATTATAAGATTAAAAAAATTCTAAATGGTGCCATAAAAATCTAAATTATGAGATTAAAAGTCAGAATTTTGACAGTCAAAAACCGATAAGATAAATTATTGAGTCTAAATTAAAAGATAAAAAAAAACTTTTACCTTTTTATCTGGTGTAAATGAGTTTCCATAATTCTCACAGTTTTCATTTTTCAACTTGTTGATCAGACCAGACAAACACAAACAGATGGCATTCTGATAGAAATTGCACACTGACGACTTCTTTCATACAACATTCAAACACAAACATAGCGCACTGTTGCTTATCATATGTAGATAAACTGTTTACGTGTCTTGTCTTGCTGTGCAGCGCTGAACATGAACTTATTCTATGCATCTGTGTGTGTTTGTGTGTGCGGCGTAGCAGACAGGAGGATCCCTCCAGCAGACAGCTGATGCCTGGAATGAGGATGTCAATGCTACTAGAGGACCCGAGGCCAGGCGACCCACAGCTGTAGCCAACTCTGTGAGTTCAGTTTATAATCCTGTTCAGACATAATCCTGTTTTAGGACAAACGACTGAGGGAACATCTGTTTGATTCAAAATGTTAAATTTTTTTGTCTCAATTTGTGCAACAAAGAAAATGGACAATACTCAGCCACCAGTAAATTATTCCAATTATATTCTTGTTACTAGGGGGCCCTCTAGTGGTTGGAGCCTGATTCAATTTGAAATGAGTTTCCTGTTAGAGGAAAGCTTTCTGAGGATTAAACTTGTATCTGAAATAAGAGGACAGAGATTACAGATTGTCTGGCATGTAATAAATGAATATGTGATTGTGATAGGCTAACTTTTTCTGTCCAAACACTAACTTTAGTCAACATCTGAACCTCAATATCGTCTGAATAAACGCACGAGTCCTTGAGTTACATCCACATCTCAATACAGTGGGATTAACACGGATAATTCACAAACTGAAACCACACGATTCTCTGTGTGAAGGCTGAAATTACCATCGTTTCCTCGTTGGAAGGTGACATGCCGACGAACCCCACAGATCCCACATCCTCTAATAACAATCGCAGGATTAACGTGGATTCTGTGTTTGTTTTGGTTTGACGGTGGGAATTATCCTTCGCTTCTAACAGAAAGAGAAGCCTGAGAGCCCGAGAAGCCGCTTAGGACACATATTTGAGATGTGCTTCTAGTCACACATGACATACATTACTCATTGTAACATCAAGAATATCCGTCACATCCTTCTTTTCTCTATTCTTTTGTTTGTTTACAAGTTATATTAGCATCAGAAAAGATTACTGACAAGCTGTCTGTACCTGTGCATGTGATTGTCGCACAGATGGGGATGAAGGAGGAGATGAGAAGGAGCAGAGAGGAGCTGCCGCTCGGCAACGTCCCATCAAGGGGTGAGGGCTTGATATGTCAACCTTTTAGCTGTTCAAGTCCTCAAAACACTTGATAGGTTTTACTTTAGTGCCACATATGTTATGTTTCTTCCTGCCCCTCATGCCTCCGCCAGTGCTCATTTTGATTTCCCTCCGCCACCGGCTTTATCTTCCTTTAAGCCTTTTATCTGTGTTTCTCTCGCTCTCTCTCGTCCATCTTTCTCTCCCTCTTCATAATTTTGCACATCACACACTTTCATATCTCCCCATTTGTAAGTTCCTGTGCATAAAGTCTGTCTAATTACTTGGCTTTGCCTATCTAGGGTAAAAATAGATAAAGCAACGATGTATCAAAAACAGACAACAAATAATTGCCGGAATATTAAATAGCAGCTCATCTCAATTTTGTCCTTCTGAAACATTATGTGCAGCAGGCGTGTTTGCCCAACCGATGCTCACTCGTGAGATAAACAAAGCCATGCAACCTCTATGGTATAATTCATTGAAATGCATCCCCTGTCCCTGAAATGATTTTAGAAAGATATTCAGTGGTCTGCTGACCCTTTGAGTTATGATTTCCAGGGCCATAATTAAATAAATAAATCCTTTTCGCTTATAGTTTTTAATTAATCATCTCACCAGAGATCCTTCTTGGCAATTTACGCTTGTTTATCATCTAACTTGTGCTTTAACAAACTGTCCTCAGTGCACCTAAATGTTTAATTTGTCATCTCTCCAGCTCCATCTCCCCAGGGAAGCATTTCTCGCCCTACAGGAGGCAGATCCACCAGGGCCCGGGTGGCCCACCAGCCTGGTGGCTCCAACCCCACCCTGCTGCCCTTCACCAGGGGAGAGATGATAACCGTGCTGGTCCAACAGCCCAGAAACGGCTGGCTGTATGGACGTGCTGACAGCAGTTCACGGTGAGTGTGTGCTGTACCCATTGTTAATGTCTGTTACAGTACAAAACTGTAAATCAGCCTACTTTATTTTGCTGTACTTTCTGCTTCTCGCGATTACGGTTCTGTAAGTCTACTGACAAACATTTTACATTTATTGTTCTGGACACAGTCCCTTTATTATAAGGAAAAATGAAATGGTGAGAAAATTTTATACGTGCAACCATTTGCAAGGAGTAAGAAACAGCGACAAAATGACTGGAGAGACATTTAAAGAAGAATAACACATTAAAGGCTAAAAGGAGAAACAGAAAAGCAAAAGAAAGCATTCTATGGCAACGCTAGCTGCTCTGGGATGCTGTACTGAGCTAAATGCTAACATCAGTATGCTAATATGCTTACAATGATAATGCTAACATGCTAATATTTAGCATAATGCTTTCTATGTTAACCATCTGAGTTTAGCGTGTTAGCCTGACACATTTTCTAATTAGCCATAGCGCTAAACCCAAAGCGCTGATGTCATTAGTTTAGCAAGTGTCTGATAATAAACCAAGTATATTATAAGTATATGAACCAACCAGTATTGGACACATTCAAATTTTGACCTTCAGTTAATTAGGATTCATCCTCTGGGGACCGTGAATATCTGTATAAAATTTCATTGCCATTTACTTTCTCTCTATTTTGTTTTCAGTGAAGGATGGTTTCCAGTCACCTATGTGGAAGCATTGGATGATCCTCCAAAGACAACCCGCTCTGGGTAAACATCCAATAAAATGTGTTCAACAAGTATGACTGTCAAATAACAATAATGTCACGCGAATGACAAGCTGTTAGAGAAATGATTGACATATCTTACTGACTGTTACTATGCCAGCATGGCGAAATGTTTTAAGGTCTACTATACTGTCAATATAAAGTTACAGCCTACAGCCGGTTAGCTTAGCAAAAAGACTGGAAATAAACAGCTAGCCTGGCTCAGTAGAACGTAACAAAGTTTGCGTATCAGGACCTCTAAAGCTAACTAATCGACATGGGGTTACGTCTGGAGGTTAAAAACAGTCCATTGTGGTTTAATGGAGGTTTGCTGGACTATTTCTTTGCCGGGCTCCGTTATTTAAGGGAGTCTTGTCGTCACTGTTATGTTGTCAGACAACCAGCATAGAATCTATGAAATTACTAAAGTGACATAGCATATTATTTGCTGTTGAAATATTACTTTAATAGCCCCAGTCACATTACGTAGGATCTTTTGAGTATTCACGATTTTAATGGTGGCATTCATTGCATATTGGCCATAACTGGTTACTCTGCTAAGCTAGTTACTAGTCATGCATTTCAGAACTACAAACAGATTTACAGCTGCTCCCATGTTACTCTTCGTACTGAATTTACATCTACTTGTGTTGTGATTTTTGAAGTGTTTGAAATGCTGCTTGTCTTGGTCCCACAGGGTTCAGCATCATATTTGTGTGTCTTACCTCCCACAATTCAAAGAAGTAATTCATTCTTTATTTGCAGCCATTAAGACGAGATGGAGAAACTTAAAAGCCCAACATTTTCTGCATAATATTGCCTTTCAAACTTGATACAGGACATATTTTGCAGCTCCCCCAGGCTCTCCTTATTGTTTTATGGGCCCAACACTTTTAAAAGAGGGTCAGTATGAAGCTCGGGCCTGGAATAATAACATGAACTATTTGAGATAATTGGGTGACCCATTGCTGTGAGCAAAACCAATAAGAAGTTTAAACTAAAATGTCAGTCACTGTGGACACATGCCACATCTAAAAGCTTAAAATGTGAATGCACTGAGCTTATGAATTTGACATATTTCATATACTTCAAAATGGAAAACAAGATATAACTCATATTTACTGTGTTCATATCTAATATATATTTAACTATGAAAAACAATTATCATTTCAAGAGGAAGGAGTGGAAAAAAATCACTATAATGGACAACTGATTTGAGTTTTGTAATTTCAGTAGCTCCTCTCTCAGAAGCAGTAGCAGCAGGAGCAACCTGCTCGACCAACCAGGAAGCAGCAGCTACAGCGGAGCCCCGCCCCCTCCGCCTCCACCTCCACCACCTTCATCTTCATATAAACAGTATGAGATGCGACCGATCACACCGACACCTGACAGAAGGGCCGAGTCTAATTCAGAAAAGAAGGTACATCAATGTCAATCATTTTTCTCTCTTTCCCTTTTTATCAAAAGATCAGCAGTATTCTTTTAAACGTAGCATGACAATGGCATTCTGTCTTCTTCTGTGGTCTTTCGGGGCTACTTTTTAATGAGACACCTTGTCTATATCGTTTGTACGATGTAACTAATATCTTTATCAGTGGTTAATAAATCTTTTATCAATAAGTTTTAAATTAGCCATTAATAAGAACAACTTTCTACTTGGTAATATTACAGTTTGATGGGTTTTCACTTTCTCATCAAACAATCTCAATAAATAATAAGTCATAAATATAGGAGTTTGATCCATCAAGTCTGCAGTTGTAGTGTTTATAAGCTGTTAATAAAAATAAGTTATCACATGGTTTAGATTTTTACCAACCCAAAAGTTTCTCATTATCAGTCTTTTTCTTTTCTTTTCTTTAACCTATAAACCATTAGTGAGTGATTCCCTTTAGTGAAGGTGCCTTATAAGAGAGAGCTACCGTACTACATCGATTTGTACTTCATTAACAATCAGTGGCATGAAGGGGGACAGCTCTGATAACACATAGTTTTTACATCTTTGGTGGTGTTTGCCAGTCTGTCCAGCAGGGGCACTGTGGCAAGGTGCTGCTCTCCACGGCTCCACACCCGTATTTCTGGTGGATGCAGGGAGGAAGCTCCAGCTGCTGATGGTGTATGGGCGAGGAGGTTGTGTGCATGTGTGTGTGTGTGTGTGTGTGTGTGTGTGTGTGTGTGTGTGTGTGTGTGTGTGTGTGTGTGTGTGTGTGTGCTCTTGTTTTTGCATGCTGTAACTTGAGACTATTAGACTGAGGACCTATTTGAAGTACTGGTGACTAAACAGGTCTGATACATAACCTTTAGGTTGCTGCAGTGTGATAATACTTTTTAATGTGTTTCCTCTGCGGTGATAATCAAGCACACAGTGGTTTGAAAAGCATTTCTTTTTCTGTCGGGGACCTGCAGAGAGCTCAAGGTATAACTGGTCCTCTTTAACTGGGATATGTTGTTTTATAAAAAAACGACTGATATTAAAACAAATCACATCATACCAGTATTCCAAGAATGGTTGGTATATTTAAGGCACAACAAGTGAGATATCTTTTTCACAATCGCTCAGGATGACCCCAAATATTTGGTCATTGGTCAAAGCACATTGATTATATCTCACTGTGACATTGATGCATTTTCCTTGATGTCTCTGCATGGTCTCTTCTGTTGCTCCGTTGTCAATCTCTATTGTAAAAATATGATTTAGCAGAGTGTGTCAACTGGACACACTCTGAGGTGTGTGTGTGTGTGTGTGTGTGTGTGTGTGGAGCTGACAGGCACAACACATCAATGCGCAGCTTGTGGGAGGACCGACTGAAAGCAGAAAGGCGAAGGGGTCGAGGGCCGGAGCCTGCCGAGCCTCCATTAGCGCGTCTATGTTTTCTATGGTTTGGATCGGCCTTCACTCACCCAGACCTTTCTCATACTTTTTTCCGCAGAGATCAAAACCACATGGATCACAGCCAGAACTCTTCCCGAGGTAACATTAATGTACCTGTGGCTCTCACACTCTCTCATTCTCTCGGGTTGTAATATGTGTAAATGGACCTTGTGTTCTCTTCTGCAGAAAATAATGATATTTTTGAAGCATATCATGAACCCATTCATATACTGGGAGAGAACAACAGATGAGGGCAGTGATCTAAATGGCACAGGATTGCTTTCCTTCCATTAGAGTTTGAAGTGCAGTTTAGTGCCGAAGCCGTTTCAGTCACGGCCATGTGGGAACCATGTCTATCACTCTCACTATCATTTCAGCTGAACAGTTTGTTAGATGAGTCTGGAACAGTGTGAAATGAAGTTCTCATTTCTCTTGCTATAACCTTCACCGTGAGGCTCAAAGATGCTTTTTCTCCACCCTGCCTCTTGTCTTTTTCTCTTCCTTCAACATCTATTTCCTTCTCTCCTTTTCATTTTGAAGGGGCACCAACCCGTTTGCCACAGTTAAGCTGAAACCCACGTCCACCGATGACAGATCGGCCCCGAGCGTATATCGACGATGACATCTTCACCCCGAAACAAAATGCTTTTGTCGAGCTTGACAGTTCATTCTTGACCTTCGAAATGGAGCATATGTGTGAGTGGAGGCTGTCTAGTGTTTTCCTACTTTCAAACAAGACTCGGTTTGTTAAGAGACACACAAAGCTGGAGAAAGAGGACAGAAAAATGTATGAATATTTTATGATTTTTGGGTTCGCACAAGGACTGTTATATATTTTTAGATCTTGGTAAATTACAACAAACATTGTGTTTTTTAAGGCTATAATGGTTTTATCTTGTTGACTATTTCATAATTGGCTCTGGTTTTAACATTTGTATGGAAGTAAGACTGAATCACTATCAAACAATGTGTTCATGTAACATAAACTAATTGACTTTAAATCATCGTTCCTTCTCTGTGTTTTCTGACATTCTGACAATGAAAGATATGAGAATGACTTATATGTTCCACTTGGAAATAAATGATTACCGTCTACGATGTGTTAGTGTACAGTTGATGTTACGAGTCAGTGCTGAGAGATATGTCCTTTGTAGCTCAGCGATGGATGCATGATAAATAATCTTTGTCATTGTATTGCACCTCCACCATTGTTCTCTGCATGGTCCGCATTAATACATATTAATTGCATTACTAATTTACTTTGGAAAATGGCTTTATTTAAAATGTTACCTCTGGCAGATAATGTAATATGTTAATTATTTTTTTAAAAGGACGAAAATGTAGTCTGAGCCAGAAACGTAATGAAAAATGCAATGCGTTCATGGATAATGTAATACCGTCTTTATAGCATCATATAATTACCTTCACCCATTCATTGAGCTTTTTCAGGTCACATTTTTTACTGATGGCAGAAGGATGATATTGATTAATCAAACAAAAACAAATAGCTTGAAAATAAGTTGTTACCTAATCAAAAATAGTGACATTAAAACACCAGTTAAAGCCCCTGGCGACTTCATTTCAAATATTTAGTATTTTTCGTAAAACTAAATAAGCGACTAAGTTAAAGTTCAGTTAAAAAAAAAACAACTTTTACTCGTCTTTCTTGTGAACGACACCGACCTCAGCAGTCTAGTGCCTTTCTGAGCTTAACAGTCTTTTAAGTGATAGCCTCTAAGCTTCAGATCTGTGTTTATTTGCTCAGGCAGTAAAATGGCCTACTAAAGAGGATTCCCGCATTGCCTGTTTGGGTCCTCCGCCGGGGATACTTAACCCAAATTGAACCTCAGCTTGAATCCAATTCTGCTAATGGCTTGACAGCACGGCTCGGCTAAACTAGCACAGCGCTTCTCAATAAAGACTCTTTGGCGAGTGGACTAATGTGGCCTCAGCCTCCTTTTTCCTCATTCAGCGAAGTGACATTCATAATGCAACATAGAGCGCAGAAAGATGCTCCTCAGTGATCTGTGATTGTGCGGAGTTTGTCTTCATGCAGTTTCTTTCCCTGCTGTCACTGCTTCCACGACACAGCCGATGCTAATGAATACTAACAAATGACGCCGGAGGGTAATTTTGACCTTCTTTAAGTACAGCCCTTTATACATTACTGGGTTGCTGTCAAGATATCCTTCGCTTGCTCCGCTTGATAGAACTGACAGCGAAATAGAGAGAGACTGAGAGCTGGATTGAGAGTGTAGAATCAGATAAGAGCGTCACATCAAAGAAGGGAATTAACAGAGGAGTCAGTGTTCTCGAGGCTTTGTTTTTTTCTCTCATTTGATTTTATTCTTTCACAGCTTGACCTCTTTCTTCTTTTGGTATGTTTTACAACAGCTCATTACCAGAGGAGAAAGGGATGGAAAGATAGATAGATGGATGGGTGGAGGGGGGTGGTGGTGTGGGAGGGAATGCAGGAAGGGAACAGTGCCAGGCAGGAGTGAAATTGACAGAGAGAAAAGAAAGACAGAAAAGAGGGGAAGTGAGAGGAAGTGTTGGCTAAGAAAAGAAAGAAGTTGAAGTCAGAAATACGGAAGGACATTAGGGTCTTCCTTTATTAATCTCTATTCTCTTTAAATATCTACTTTCTGCTTTAAAATGTGAGGTTTATTCCTGCAGGCATGTTTTATATCTATACATGAACAGCAACAAGAACAGTTTGTATAAAAAAAGGGGTCAAATAAATAGGATGAATATAGCTGCGGGGTCATCTGAAGAGGAGCGTGGCACACCACAGCTTACTTCCTTTAGTGCAGCATTGCATTTCTAGCGAAGACATCCGGGGGGGGGGGGGGGGGGGGGGGGGGGGGAG